AGAGAGGTAAAACACACTGACGCCCATAGTTTTGATAAACTGTGTGCAGCAAACAAAATAAAAACATTGCTCAGGTGTCTGTATGTCTGCTAGTCTTTAATTTTTGCCACACTGCCCAGTGTGACCTTAACAATACCATATGAGTGAGGTCAGCTCGTAGAGCTCCTGGGGGCTCCGGGGTACCAGTTCAATCTGTTCCTGGCAGCTGCCATTTGACGCTCCACACAAAAGGAAACGCAGAGTTTCTGCTATGTCTAATTAGAAGAGAAAAAAAGATAAAAACAAACATTTTCTCTGTTAAGTGTTATGTTTCAAGTTCATACACACCATAATAACACTACTGATAAAAATAAATCAATGGGTTGCGCAATGAATAAAATACATTAATTTCAAGACATGGCAATTCTTTTTAAATCATTTACAAAGAGCCATAGGACTGCAAACGTTCACAAAAATAGCATTAAGTACATGTTTAGTGTCACATCTGTTTGGTTTGCTGGCAAATAAAGACTGCAAGTTCACAAGATGAGAAACAGCAAATGAAAAGCTTTATCATGTAGGTTGATGTAGCTGTTAGCAGGACCACTATTGACAGGCAGTCATAATTTGGATTTCAGTAATTTTGTGGGGGGAAACAAGTTACCAAACTGTATCTAGTAACTAGCACGTCTTAAATCTATTAAAAATATCCTATCCCGTAAAGTAAATACACTGTAAAACCAAAAAGGAAAAAGCCAATACTGTCAGGGGGCCTACTAAAGTGTGGCCTATGTGCAAATGTTACTCACTCTGTTTCATAAGCTGGACTGCCAGGCATGGACAGTTGGAGCACATAAGTGAAAACATGCGCACAACCATGATGAACATCCCCGAGCTGAGCACAGGAGGAGTCACTACCAACAGCTGCTGGATGTTTGTCAACAGGTCCCTTGATGCCACCTCCTGCAACAGGTTCTGTTGATTTGAACGGAGATGCATAAATGTACATTAAGAGGGCATGTGGACTACAAATCTCTAAATGGCAGGAAAAAACTGAAACAGCAAACATGGTCTACCAAAAACAAACTGAGGTACAGACCTCTTCATGCTGAAAGTTGTCCACCAGTCTGGCGAAACAGAGACAAGTACTTTCAACTGACTTCTTATCCTAAAAAAGGCAAGAGAATAAATGGTGGATAAGTAAAAGATTTACCACATTAAATAAATGACCTCACTGCTTGACCCAAATCAGACGTAATGTACCGTTGTTGCTAATGTCAGATCAGTATCCTTTATATGAAAACTGTACCTGATGAGTAAGTCTCTGAGTCAACAGTGGCAGAGAGTCAGCAACAAAGTGGAACTCATCTGGAGTAATGCTCTGGCAGCAGTTGGCTGCAATAGCCAAGGCATTCCTCTGAGCATTAATGCTAAAGAACTCCAGGTACAGGAGGCAGTCAGCAAGCCCACCCTATAAGGGATCACAGGTGAGGATCATTACGACTAAATGCGGCTAGCAGAGAAAAGACAAATTAATGGCACAACAAAAAGACAGCGTAACACTTACGGCCTGCAAAATGGCTTTGCTGTGTCGCCTTGACAACATCTCCAAGGCAGTCAGGGCCTGCTCTGCTACGTCAATGAACTGAATCACCTGAAGCTGCAGACAAGAAAGTCGAACAATCCATTAGCATATGAGAAGGTCACTGTTATGAATTAACAAGTGATTACTGACAGAAAGTGCCATGCTTTACCTTCTCCAGGAAGACAGGAATGGCATCGACCACCACAGCAGAAGATCGAGGGAGGGCCTCCATCATGTAAGTGAGTGCACGCGAGGCATGGTTCATCTGAATGCACAGAGCAATCATGTGAAGATAATCAGTTGCATGACCCCCCCCCAAACAAAAAGTAAATAAACCAACGACATTTACAATAACAGAAGCCAGTCATACTCACAATATCAAAGTTATGCTCCATTTGTAACAGTGTAATCTGCGAAAGAGCAAGCAGTTACATGGAATTAAATAGCATACATGTGAAAAAACAAAAAGTAACTGATTTTCTGTCAACCAATATTTACATTACACATAACTGTGGGAGGAATTTTTCCCTGTAAAACAATGAATAGGTGAGACACTGCTTCAAAACCAGGAAACAGGGCTGTGGAGTACAGGAAGCTAAACAGCCAAAGAAAATAGGACTTACCAAGGCAGGAACGACACTTTTCACAGGAAATCCACCAAGTGTTTCCTCATTGCCCATCACAAGCAACTGGCACATTTCTATTGCGGCTTGGAGTTGCTGAGACTCGTCACCTGTGGCCTGGAGGCCTTGCAGAAGCTGTTGAGCCTTGGAACCTGAAAACAAGGGAGCGATTTTTTTTTTTAAATTAAAATATTTTGAGTGCAACAAGAACGCTGATGTCAATGTTAGAAGACATTACTCACTGGCTCCACTGCCTATGGTCCTGTGAAAGAGTTGAGACATGCGGGGTCCCAGGGGCCCAAAAAGATGTGGAGGGAGACCTCTGGCCTCTAGTAGAGCTAAAGGACATACAAAGCTTTATGTATTAAAAGGTCAAATATTTTTTGTAATATGAGAAATCTCTAAGGTGGTTTTAACATACCTTGAAGCCTTCCCATTTCAGAATCATCAGACTCACTCTCACCAGAGGTGGTCATGCCCACTGCTCCAGCAACCGAGCTTGACGCTGGAAATAAACCGTAAAAATTCATATTTTAATTTTTTTTTTATTGAAGTGAAAACAATGTATCAAATGGCCATAATTGTGTTAAGTTTTCATCTTCACATAAATGAATGGAAATCTGAATCATCTTAAGATAAGATAGAACTTTATTAATCCCTCGGGTGGGTTCCTCTGGGAAATTCGATTTCCAAAAAGCACAGCACCGACAGACGTTACAGAATACAGAGACAAATATAAATAAAATATACGAAGGGGATAAATAGAATAAATAGGAATAAAAATACAAGTGAATTGCACATTTCAAGTATTTAGGTCTATTGCACCATTGACTATTTACAAAAAGTATTGCACAAGGTATTGCACAGTGAGGTGAAGAGGCACTACAGCTTAGTCGTTCCCCCCTCCTTTGTCCTCCTGTTTCTCCTCCCTCTCCCCTCCAGAGAGGAGTTAAACAGTTTGATGGCGTGTGGGACAAAGGAGTTTTTAAGTCTTAAGCTTAATTGAATAATGAAGTGAATAATTAACTGACATTTTCAAACTGCAATGTGAGTTATTATAAAAAAACATGGTGTTAGTTAGTCCGACTTTTCTAGTCTATAATTATGAGAAAGATCGGAGCAGAAATCTTAGTAGTTCACCTTTTACTTTAGAAAAACCTCTTAGTACATGTTCAGCTACACCCCAATCACACATCATTCCAATATTTGAGTTATTTCTGGTTGCAATAAGTAATCTTAATTTGTTAGCGAAAGTACCTGAAGCCCCTTGTGATGCATCATCAGTGCGAGCGGCTGATGAGTTGGCCCCATCTTGGTTGTTGTCGGAGTCGGCCATTTTCTCCTGTCGGCGAGCGTCGGCTGCCCCGCGCTTGCCCAGGCCTGAGCCCCGCCGACTGTTACATGCGTACAAAGAGACTCTGATTATTATACTTTTATAGTGTCATACGAATACATAGCAGTGGTTCCCTTGGCTAGTGATTCTACTATGGTAAATTTGGATCATGCAACTGAAACAGAGGCTTCCATGCATAGTTATTGCCCTTTTATCAAATGCACGTTAGAAGTTTTCATGTTAAACTCATGGGCATACTGCCAACCATGTACATTGTGCAGGATTGTTGTGCCACCTCATGTTGTAAAGGGTGGTAAAATCAATTGGGGTCAGTTGGTCTGACCTATAAACACAATGAAATACCAGTTTGTACCTTCTGTGATGGAGACATTTTTCCCCAAAATGCCAATTTGCAGACCTAAATATTGATTATTTAAGGCCACTCAGCTGATACAAGCTGCTAACCCGTTCAGCTTAAATGAACTCTAAACAAACACAATGACAGCATTTGCACAAAATCGTTTCAGCCTTGATGTTGTTTGTTGTTGTTGTTTTTTGTTTTTTACTGAAATCGTAACAACAGACTTTGAGTAGTTTTTTCTGTTTTGATGAGAAGTGGCTTCACATCCAGTTCAGTCTGGGTGGAGCTCTGCTACTGACAGACACTGGAGCTGATGAGGCGTGTGCTTTAAAATAAAATATCATTAGACCAAGCAGATTTTAAAATGGCAACATTGGTGTAACATCATGAAATAAAGCAAGGGATCTTTAAGTTTTCATCTTTTGTTATTTAAAAGTTTTAATATGCAAACTGATAAAAAGTTTAAACTCAACCCTTTGGCCATCCATCTGAATAAAGCAGTCACACTAGCAAAAAAGGCATCAGTTAGGTCCCAGTAGACTACAACTAAGAGTTTAATATATGTAAGCTAAGGTGTTTGGGTGAGTTGAGTCCAATGAATGATGAAGAAAAAAAAAAAAGTTTAGCAACTACTTACCATGATTAGTCATTACCGTAATATAGTAAACATTCCAACCTTAAAGAGGACATGAAACACTACACATATAAAGGCTAATTTACATCATGTAGCCCTGCTCTCAAAAACTGAAATAGATACAATGTAGACCTAGATATAACATAACATAGATACACTGTCTGTGAACTGATTGCATCATCTAGGGGCTGTACAAGTGATTTTTTCTTTTAGTTTTAGTGTCCTTATTCTCACGAAGATTCTGTCTCTGGTTAGCTAACATAAACTAATAGAAGTCTATTAGCCGCAAACCAGCCGACCAACCACATGACCCAGCGTTCTGTCCTGACAGAACATGGCACTACACATGTTCTCAAATCTTTAAGCGCTTATTTCTTAAATCCAGCTTCACAGACAGCATCACATTTGTCAATTTTTGAGAGCAGGACTCCAGGATATAAATTAGCTTTTATATTTTTAAGAGTTTAATGTCCTATTGGGGAAATAGAAAAGAAACAGAGGCGGTAGGAGAAATGGCATAAACTAGCAGATGTGTGTTTTGTTTTTTTAGTAAAGCCTATTCTGAAATGCCAACTACTGTTGGCGTTTGGCACCTTAGCCTCTGTGAGAGTTCTGCAGGTGCAGACAGAGGCACAAAGAGGTCCAAGCAGCACAATCCTTGGTCTGCTTTGGGCGATCTACAGGAAGAACTTTGTAGGACAAAAGGTACCAACCAACACTTGACCATAAGTGGACCAGGTGAGGGACCCTCAGAGACAAAGTCACATAAAGGCCACCACTAATGATCTGTCTGCAGATAACCTTTATAGACCAACTTCTAGACAGATATTCCTGACCAAAAGGCTCTTTTCATCATTCTGGCTTAAGAGAAAAGACTGACCGCACAGCACTAGGTCTCATCATTAAAATTAGACTGCAATCATTTTAGATGCTGAATAAATCATGAATATGCATTTCTTAACTTTAGTATAGCTTCAATGATGTCCACATTCCTCAAAAATAAATATCCAGAAGTAACATGCATTTTTGTTTTTTGTCACTGTAGTGTACCTGGTGCTGGCACAGGAGCCCGTGGTCTTCTGGCGTGTGCTCCGCCGAAAGTTGGGGAGCTCTGCTGGAGGAGACTCGCTGCGCTTCTTAGTGGATTTTCTCAAACCTAAAATAGAAAACAGTGATTATAACTTTTGGACTGGGCCCCAACAGTGGCATCAAATTCTTTCATTTAAAAACATCTTCTACAGGAGGTGAATCAAATTTTTTAATTAACCCTTTAAGACCTACCATAGAACCAAGTCCACCAGAGCTGATATTATATTTTTACATGCTGTAGTGCCATTTTGGGAGCATTTCAAGTTGCTATACATCAATACAACCATTATAGCCCAGATTTTAATAATATGTCTGCATTAAGTGCATAGTAATTA